GTTCAAAGCCAGCCCAGGCAGGAAAGTCCATGAGGCTCTTATCTCCACTGAACCACCAGAAAACCAGAAGTGGTGCTGTGGCTCAAGGGGTAGAGTGCTAGCCTTGAGCTGAGGGACAGCACCCAGGCCAGAGTTCAAGCCCCACAACTGACTAAAAATAAAATAAGACTGAGTACCAATCACTAAGCAATATCAAATCTTTTTCTTAATAATCCTAAGTAATGGAGACTAATAAAATACCCATTTTAAAGATAAGACATAGAAATATAAAAACGTTAAGTGACCTGCCAAGAGAAATTAGTATTAATGCCAACATGTGAAGTCATGTTGACTGATCCCAAGGTCTTGTTCTAGTGACTGGACCACTCTGTTGCTATGTGATTAAAGATGATCAGACCCCTAGTGACCCAACGTTCTTCAATGACTGTAGTCTTCAGCATTTAGGTTCATTGCTATGCTAAAACTGGATGCATCATTTTCTATAAATACTAAATCCAGAAGATCAAATGTGAAGCAAGCATAAGAAATGAACTATCAAATATTCCTGAAAAGTGGAAAATCTCATTAAGCATATTTTTGTTGAAGCCTAATTTTTACAAAATATTATAGCTATATACAATATAGCTATAACTGGCGAACCTAAAATACATTAGGAGTTACCACTCCTATGATAAGAAAAGTGTCTTAGAGTATAATGAAAACCCTTGGCAATTTGAATATTATATGATACTAAATTATACCATAATTATTTCAAAGGTCAAGAATCTTACACATTTAGTTTTAAAACTCTCCACCTGGGTGATGCAATCAGATATTTTAAGTATGTATGAAAATATTTAATTATACAAAATAAGTGGAAATCTACTAATTTAATAAGCTTAAAAGTAAAATGTTCAATATTTTTCCCATGAGTACTTTCTTTCCTCTTCTGTAAAAAAAAAGAACTCTTTAAAAGAATCTTTTTTGAGTGAATATGAGCATTTTATTTTTCAGTATTATTTTGAGTTTTCAGTGTTAGTTTCGAGGAAAGGCAAGATCAAGTGGTTTGGAATAAAGCCGTGTATCACTTGCTAACTCATGGGTCATTCTGTGGAACTATTATGCTGAGCACCACTGACAATTTCTAAACAAAAGACAGACTCAGACCCATTTAAGCATTTTCAAGAATTCACAGCCAAGTGGGAAGAAAACCAAATGTAGAGCAGCACCGGCGTGAGAGTTTAAAATCTCCAGAGGAGGAAAACCTTTGACCCTTAATAAATCAAATAGAATAAAAGTCAGGTCCATGGACTATGGAGCTAGAATGTCTGCCTCTGACTCTCAACTTTGCATTGTTGCTTTAAGTGACTTCACTGAATCCCTGTAGGCCCCCATTTCCTCCTTTACCTTTATAATTAAGTAAAGAATTGTTTGGAAATTGAAGTAAATCTACATGAGTGAAGCAAGTGGAATAGATCCTGTTACATAGAAAGCATGCTAGCTACACAAATGAACCCAGCACTAAGGCCTTAGGTTCACAGGGACAAGTCATACTAAAATAGCTGACCAATGCATACTCTCAGTTATGCAGCTGGTGCAATCCTTACCTGCATATAAACAATGGCTTCATACTAACAGTTTTCCACACCTGCTCAACGCAGTCTTCAGCTTAACCTCTTCTTGTCTGTCTATTATTTTGAATATTATGGAAGTACTGATCAATTGTGTCAGAATCCTACAGTTAACAATAGCTTTATCAAACAGTCTATTAATAAACCACGGTATAACCCCTGTTTTCACTGTATTTGATGTTGGTATAATTTGGGGAGGGGACAGGAAAAACAAAGTATTTAACTAAGAATGCAGGTGGACCCATTGCAACAATGAAATGTACAAGATGCTATGTCAAAAAAACGAACTTTACAACTTTGGCTGGTGAGGGGGTGGGGCGGGGGCAGGGCGATATGGGAGAGCAGGGATGGTAAGGAGAAGCAAAGGAGGAGGCAACAATGCTTGATAAGAAATATACTCGTTACCTTGCTCATGTAATTGTAACCCCTCTGTATTTCACAATAAAAAAAGTATTAATAAAAATAAAATTAAAATAAAGTAAAAAAATGAAAATAAAAAAATCACTACCGAATACTGACATGTTTAATCCATTATCAGAAACACAAAGATTCCCTTCAAGTTGTCAATATTATTTACACAAAAGAGAAAAAAAAACACAATCACAAAATCCATGTAACCAAAGGTAACACCTATTACCAAACTGGCTGTGGTTTGCTGCTTTTGAAGTTCTTAACTATTATTTGTGATTTGTTGGTTTATTTGCTGTAACAAGAGCAGGAGCAGAAAATGAAAACTCAAAAAAATGTGAAATAAAAAAATAAAAACTGAGAAAACTAGCAAAAAGAAAAAAAAGAATTCTCCATTGTTACTGCTTTACAAAAGAGAGATAGAGAAAGATTTCTACTCATTTTTATTTAAGCAACAAATCAAGACCAGTCTGGTACCATTAAATTCACTTAAACTATTTCTGCCAGTCCTCCTGTTCTGCTCAGAGTATTTTGGATCTCTGGTATCTGTGAAACAAGGGATCCAATATTCTGCACAGCAAGAGGCCTATTCTGAGAGAGAAAAACCATTGCTAAAGAGAGTCACAAAATCTCCAGGCCAAAAGTAACCTTAAAAATCATCTAATCAGCCATTTATTTTATAGAAAAATCAGTCATTATAGAAAAACTAAGTGAAACCACGCATTCCCTCTAGTTGGTAATCTTTTTCCTTTTAATTTGTCATTTTTGTAAATTTGCCTATTTGGTACAGAACATTACCCAAGAATAAATGTAACTGTAAAACAAAATCCAGAGAAATACACGCTTAATATCAATAGTGATTAGGGCCATCTAACTTTGTGAAAGTATGAAATAGGACAACAGAATTTTGATCCAACATTTAGTAACCATAACAGGAACCTACATTTGGCAAAATTCTATAGCCTACAGCTATCGGAGTTTGGGCAATTTATTTAGCACTTTTATTTGTATTTTGATTTCCTCATGCTCCCAACTTAATTTGAAATGTTATTTTGTGGTAAGAGTGAATTTCAAGGGACTCTACTTATCCAGCTCTCTGTGATCAGATGGTAAGTAGGAATTGGGGGTGGGAGTGAAAAGAAGAAAAAGAAGACAGGAGAAAGAGAGTAAGGGTCTTCAAGGGGATTGGGAAGGAAAGAAGAACAGAGCTATATTTCATTTCTACATTGTTGATTAACCTCCTCCTTCAAATTACATATGAAGCCCCTTCTTATATTAGAAATAAATTCAGATACGATACTTTAAGCAAGCAGTAATAAAAAATTCCATAAGCTATTTCAAGTTGGACTAATATGCAAATGTTACCATTCTTAAACACTAATGTAAGTAAATATCAAATGGAAAATAAGAGGTTAGAATAGAATAACTAAATTCAAATGTATAAAACAAGGAGATTTCAATTGCATTCAATTATTTCACCCAATCACCTAGAAGTGAAGATCCTCCAAAGAAAATTGCACTGGCTTCTGAGCTCCTTGGAGAGCCGGTTTAGTTAACAGCCTACCTACACTTCAGAGATGACCATGCAGCTTACATGTCAAACTCATTTTAAAATGTCAATCATGTCCTTTTCAATCTAATTAGTTTGGAAAGTAGTGTCACTGACCTGGAACTATGCAGACCATTTATTATCATATCTTTTGATCAACCTAACACTTTGCTTCAGTTGAGTTTAAGACACCTGTAGCCAAAATGTATTATCCTTTCTCCTGCTCATTACTGTTAACTCTCAGTACAATTTCCTATTTACAACTCAATTTAGTTCTATGAACAGACATGACCAACTTCACAGAGGGACCCCACAGAATTTCCTTTATTTAATGTTTTAGGGCAATTAAAATAAAAACGGAGAGAAACTAATATGTGTGTGTGTGTGTGTGTGTGTGTGTGTGTGTGTGTGTGTGTGTGTGTGTATAAATATATAACATGCCAAATGTATTCATAAATATATATGACACACATAGCAAATATTCATAAATATATATGACACACATAGCAAATGCACATAAAATATTCAGAATTTTAATAAAAACTAACAGCAGAAAAGAGGAAGAGTATAGGACTGCAGATATGCTGAGAGAAATAGATAGGTAGGGATTTTTTTTTAAAATATGATACAGTGAACTATATAAAAAAGTGTATGTAAACTGTGTGCTGGTAACTCATGCCTATACTCCTAGATCCTCAGGAATTTCCAGGACAGAAATAGATTTGGGTGGAATGATGGCAAAAAGATGATGGTTAGCAAGCAACAGAAACCTTCAACTCCATTCTTTAGAAAGGTCAGGAAAATTACCCTTTTTTTTTTGGTCAGTCATGGGGCCTGAAATCTGGGCCTGGGCACTGTCCCTCAGCTCTTCAGCTCTAGCTAGGCTAGCGCTCTACCACTTGAGCCTCAGTGCGACTTCTGTTTTTTTTCGGCCTAAGTGGTGCTGAAGATTCGAACCCAGAGCCTCACGCATGTGAGGCAAGCACTCTACCACTGAGCCACCTTCCCAGCCCTACCCAATCTTTTTTATCACTCCAGTTTCACATATCAAGAAGACAAAAATCTAAGTAAGTAATCTTATTTCTTCCATATAGAACCACATATTGCATCAGGGACAGAATAATACACATCCTTAGACATGCCGCCAAAATAGCATATTCATATCTTTAATGTGGCATTTTTAAAAAGCGTGGAAGTTATATTTAAAGTAATGACTAGTCATTCTGGAAGATGATCATCTAAAAGCAGGGTGTCAGCTGCCAGATCTTTTCTATCCTGTACTTTGCTTTGGAGAAGAAGCATTTTACCAAGAAAATTCTTTTTGTCAAAAGGAAAAAGCAAAAATGTTCAACCTTGTTTGCTTTATCAAATTATTACTAGTGAATGCTATTTAACATCAGGTTAAACAAAATATGCGTATACTTTACACTTACCTTCAGGTGAAGAGCCTGTCTTTTGGGAAAAGACAGCATTTACTTTACTCTTCTTACTGACATCATTGTTTACAGACAAGCTGGACTGTATTTTTCTATGCATTTTCTGAGAAACAGGAGCTGAAAGTTTGCGATGATCTGTGGAGGAATGTTTGGTCCCATGGTGAATTCCATTTCCATTACTCAGATTTGCATGGCCTCCATTCTTTATCTTGCCTGTTTCTTCCTCACTGGGTTCCTGAACTGAAGTCTGTGGCTCAGGCAGACGCTGGGGTTGGGCTAAATTTAAAAACAGGAAAATTGCATCTAATTAAGAAGAAATTTGTATTTTAAAGTAATGAAAATATATTCAATAATAAAGATGTGATTTACTCATGACACTAAAATTGATGATACAAAAGACAGAAGAGAGAGAGACACATACACACATATTCAGAGAGAACACACCTATAAGAAAATTAGGGGAAAGTACAAAACACTGCCATAATGAAATGGATAAAAGAAGTACAAATTAGTGTACTAAAGTATAATCAAGAGTAACTGGGGAAATTTTAAGGAAGAAAGAGTGAACGGACTTGACTTAGTAGATATGAAACCTTACATAAAATGGCCATCACTAAAGCAATACGAAACTTGATAGGCATAGGCATATAAACCAATGGGACAGTAGATTCTTAAATACATAGTTGTGTGCACAGACACGTGTGTATCTCACACAAACAATTTCAGATACATTAAGTGCTTATATGGAATGTATAACTTTTTAAAGTGAAAATATATAACGAATATTAATGTATATAATATATGATGAATATTAATCAGTTTTGTGCTGTCACATGTTTCTGGACACATTCACAAATTTTGGTAAAGAGCTAAAGTCCTTTGTGGCTTGGGACAGGTTATATGAGCTATTCTGCCAAAGAAATGTCCACCTTGTTTTCACAGAGACCAGTCCAAGATGTCCACCACAACAGAGAAGTGAAGCCACTCAGCACAGTCAGTAGATAAGTATTTGTTGGCCTTGGAAATGGGGCACAGCTCTGATGTCTACTTCCTGGCAGACAAATGACCTAATAAATGTGCCTAATAAAGTAGGGTATTATGAGAAAATCCTACTGAATGGATGGGTGTGATCCTTGGTTGTGGGACTTCAGAAACCTCTACATGTTGCAAAGAAATTTATTTTTTTATTTAAATTCACAAAAATAGACCCTGGGTTTACTAACTAAAATTTTCATTTCCATTTCCATCAGTCTCCCACCTCCCCAACCAAAGAAAACAACTTTATATCAGTTAAGTAAAGAGACTATTAAAATCAACATTTTCTCTGACTGTATAGATTTTAAGCAAAGCTTTCTACCAAAAAAAGACAACAACAAAAAATATTTACTGTGAAAATTTTACTGCTTTATAACTTCTTAGAATGTCAAAATCTAAAGCTGCTATTTTAGTTAGTTTATGATTACCAACTACTAAAAGTTGTAAATTACACATGGCTGTTAAGAATTCATTGACATTCTAAGTATTGCATGCAAAGCTGTCTCACTTGTGCATGGTGCAAACAAATGTTTAATATAGAGAGGGGGGTAATTATCATCTGGGAAGCAGCTAAGACTTGGAGGGAGCTTTGGTAAAAAGAGATAGACAGTAATATTTGAGTAAATCTTAAGCACACTATTTACTTCAGTTCTCATTTACCTACTCTATATGAAGAAAATCATCTTCTCATATCAAAATATTCTATTCATGGGCATGGTTGAAGACAGAGAACAGATTCCTTTTTGTTGTATGCTTGTTGTTGTTCCATGCTTTCATGGAAGCCTGCTAGCATTAATACCTGATTTATAAAACTAATCCTCATAGTTTTCCAAGTCTAAAGGGATAAAAGGAAATAATTGTCTAGAAAGCGTATCAAAACCTTTTATTCTAAAATTCAGATGAAAAAGAAACAGAAAAGATTCCTTCCCTATTTAGCAGTTATGTATACCTTTTCTTTAAAAAACATTTTTATGTTATTATAAAGGTGATGTACAGAGACATTACAGTTTCATAAGCTAGGTAAAGAGTACATTTCTTTTTGTACAATGTCATCCCTTCCCTAGCTCTCTCCATACCTTTTTCATGACCCAGAGCTTCAATCAAGATGTTTAAAAGAGGAGAACTATTTCTCATGGGTGCACAACATTTGATCTAGAGGTTAGTTATCTGCTACTCCTATAAATTCTTGTATCAACTAGAATTGACACTCTAGTGACTGCTATTGAAATTAGAGCTAGTTATGCATATGTATTTAAAAGACACCAAAGAAGACAGTTAGACCTATTGCGGTGGTCTTTTCAGACCACTTCTAATAATCTCTCCAAATGAATTAAATATTTTAGGGTCATGGTTTCTCTAAACAAATAATGCAAGCAATCTGAGAATTTGCTTAAGTCTGAATGTCTTTGACCAATGAGAGAAAGACTATCTTATAAATCTAAAATGTCACAATTGAAGATAGATTTAGAATTATTGTGAAATACTTAAATATTCTCAATAAATAAAGGTAATGAAAAGACAAGTGTGTGTTGTCACAAAATTCTTAAAATGACAGGTGTGACCTTTATCACTATTAAAATTGACTTGTTTCAAATTACTGAACGTGGGTGGAGTAGTAGTATAACATGGTCTTCACATTTCAGACTTCATAATTTGGGGAGGGAAAGGGAAAAAACAAAATGTTTAAATAGGGATACAGGTTGACCCATTGAACAATGAGATGTACAAGACACTATGTTGAAAAATGAACTTTACAAGTTAGGTAGGAGGGGAGTGTAGTTGTGGAGGTGGGAGGGAAGGAATGGTAGGAAAAAAACAAAGGAGGAGGCAACAATGCTTGATAGGAAATGTACTCATTACCTTGCTCGTGTAACTGTAACCCCTCTCTCTGTACAGTATTTTTACAATAAAAAACTTATTAAAAACATTTCAAAATCGTATCTATTTCCATTGGCAGACAAACAATAGTACACTATATTTTTTGTTTCTCTAGCACCTAATTATATTTCACTATTTTTTATTATAGCTAAATAATCGAGTATGACCTCTTCACTTTGGTGTGCTTTAACATTAAAACAATTTTTCATTGAATGACTTTGCCAGATGGGTTTAGTAAGACAATCCAAAACAGGATAAGATGTAGATATATTAGTTATCTCAATAGACATCAAATTTGACTTTGTTGATCATTTTTCCTAATTTAATCTTTTGCTAAAGTTCTAATTAAAACCAAGTAGGAAACATGATTTTATTTTCAAATAAAGAACAAAAATAGCTAATGGATTAAACCACAACTACTTGGTTGAACGCAGATTTATTTCCCCTTATTGTATAGAAGTTGTGTATGACTTTAAAAAAAAGCACGCTAATATGGGAACAATACAATACTTCTTAAAACACAAGTGATGCCTAGGGACCCGCGCTATTCCTTTAATGATCCACTGCTCTCATTCAGCTGTCTTTCTTTTTTCAAATCTTTACATATGTGACAGCTCTCAAAAGTAGACCATAGACCATCTGGCATTTTCAGAGGTGCAACTTGTGCAAATTCAGCTCTATTGGGAGCACACTGCTATCTTCTGCCTGAGTTATAAAGGGACAATAGAATGTAGAACTTATGAGTTGTTTTGAATTATTCATTTTTTGCCTGTATATTCAAGAAATTTTACAAACTCTGCATTTTGTCCTACATAATCACATGCGTTAAAGGTACAAAGAAACTTTTTGACACCTCTTTTCTACAGAAAGCTGGCATTTTGTTTGATATGTGAACATTCAGCATCTGTTATATCACTCTAAACAGAATGGGTACTTCTACAAAAGACCCCATTTTAAATTTGCTCTATACAAGCGAAAAATGTATTCCTGATATTCAGTAACGAATGCAGTACAAATCAAAATTTCAAATACCAGTTAGAAGAGCACTCAGCATCTTCAAGCTGAATAGCACTGGTCATCTGCTTACCATATGTGTAAAGATTTTACAAAAATCATTTTGCACACAATGCAGCATGACTGTAATTTTAATATCTATGATGAACAGTTACAAATGTCTCAAGAAATACTGTGCATCCTAGGTTCAAATATTTTCAATCAGGAAAGAAACTAATAGAATTAGTTCTAGTGATTTTTCAATAATAATAATAATAAAATATGGGAGTAACTGAGTCAATAGCATGAATTTCTTTTGATAATCTTTTAGAAATAAGTAGGTGATATTGTAGCTAGTAATTGTATGTGAAACTTCAGTTCTGGAGTAGCAATAGAAAGCAATATTTTCTTATAGCATACAATCTATTAGCATGTCAAACCATTTTCAGTCAATGGTCTCTTTGCACAAGTCAGATCTAATAAAATTACAAAATAATCCTAATACAATTTAGTAAATTTAACTCGTTAATGTTCACATTGAAAATAAAATCTAAAGTCTTGGTTAACTCCTAAAGACATTAATTTTAAACACAGGAGATGAAGAAAAAGCTAAACTAACTTTTCCATGGACAGAAACAAATTTTTATTAGTGCAATACTGCCCCAGCGTCCCTGTGGGACAGACACACACATACACACACATATAAACACTCCAAAGCACATACCTGCACACAGAAGAATATTAAATATTACATATTGAATGTACATAAACCATTCAATATTAAATATGGCATATATTAAAATATGCAACCATAGAGAAGGATAGTTTTAAAAAAGATAAAGTATAACTCATATGCTAAAACTATCTTAGGTTAATAAGCTATATAATGGGAATTTAGACTAAAATAATTTAAAATTCATGTGATAACATTCCTTTTTTCATCATCTGGACTCAGAGCTTTCTCGATAGTCAGACTGTGGTAAAATCTGTGTTCTAATAAACAATAGCCTAGACCCTTGCATTTTTCTATGTTCTTTTCCTTCATTCCCCTCCAAGGGTCTTCTGATTGTGTATTTATTTCTTGATCTTCTGTATGCTTCTCAACACATCTATTTCCCAACTTCATTTTATGTAACGTACCTGAGGAAATATTTTTTTGAATTCTGAAACTTTGAATAAATAAAAAAAAAAAAACCTCCATTTAAGGATCCCTATCAAAGATTGTAACTCAAAGGATGGAAACTTCCAGAATGAAGGGTACTGTGTCATGATTAGAGCACACCAAACAAAACTTGATATCCATCCAGTTTCTATTATTGCAAATAAACCATTTGGTGTCACTGGGAAGTTTACTATCCAAAATGAATAAT